ACTTTATCTCTCATACTTCAGACATGTTATCAGGAGGGACCAGTCCCTAGAGAAGGACATCATGCTTGGTAAAGTGGAGGGTCAGTGAAATAGAGGAAGACCCCCAACAAGATGAATTGGCACAGTGGCAGCAGCAAGCATTGAGTTCACACGTAACAGCAATTGTGAGGATGGCGGAGGACAACAGCAAAACCCTATCAGAGAAAATGTGTGTTCTAATTCTTTTGCCTATGTTTTTTTTAAAGGATTGATAGTTTTTTTATTGATGTTTGATAACTTCATAGTCTCTGGATATAAACCAGAGTTTTTAAGATACTAATTTTGTAGTCTGTAGCTTCACTTATTATACTCCTAAAAGTTAAGATAAGATCTTAATTTTGGTAGCACCCAATTTATCACTATAAAACATTTTTTTTAATGTATCATGCTTTAGATGTTATTGATAAGAACATTTTCCCAACCTTGTAACACAGTTTTTCTCCAATATTTCTTCCAAAATGTATATTTAGATTTTACATTAAGTCTATAGCTCCGTTTGATTTAGTATTTTGGTATATGACACTAAATTTAGATTTATTTGTTGTAGCGCTATACTGTTGATAATGAAGTATTTTAGTTTTGCATAGCTGACAAGTCTGTACTTTGTTATTACTTTTGAAAGCTATTTTCACTGGGAATGCAATTCAAAAAAAGTCTGTTTTTTTTCTTAAAAATTTTTTTTTAATAAGATCAACTTAGAGTTTAAGATGAAGTATTCAACATGTGTGCGTGCTGCTTTATACTTTCCCTCCCCAGAACCCATTAGAATTATAATAAAGTGATTTTTAAACTGTAAAAAAAAAAAAAATCCCGAATCAGACTGGTAATACTCATGACCCTCCCCATTTACAGGTGATAGTTTGCTCAATTATTGGTAAGGGTCTATATTTAAACCCAAAAGGTACATTTCAGAGCTTGCTCTCTTGGCCACTCCTAGGTCATAGCTTCTTCCTGTTGTTGTTAAGTTTCCATCAAGTCCGCTCTGATTCATGGGCACCTCGTGTATAACAAACGAAGCACTGCCCAGTCCTGTACCATCTTCACTACTGTTGGCATGCTTGAGTCCACTGTTTTGCTTTCAGTTTATAAATGCCATAAAAACGGAAGTCAAATCTAAATAATACAACTTATTGGGACTGCTTATAAAAGGATCCCTGATGGTACAGTGTTTAAGCGCTTGACTGATAACCAAAAGGTCAGCTGTTCAAACCCTCCTGCTGCTCCCTGGGAGACAGATATGCCAGTCTGCTGTTATCAAGCTTGACAGCCTTGGAAACCCTATGCAGAATTTGTGTTTTGTTGTATAAAGTCACTATCTGTTGGAATCAGCTTAATGGCCTCATGTTTGGATTTTTGGTTTGGTATTGCTTCTAAATTGAAATCAAGGGTTTAGTAACTAACCAACATTACAAAACTGATAGAAGCCAAATTTGAACCTATGTATGTCTGATTCCAAAGACCCCCTTTCCATTTTGTCTTTGTCTCACTGGGCTCAGTCCTCTGAGAGAGAAGACAGCTTTCTGCTATCAGGGAACCCTAAGGTGCGCCTGACCCAAGCCATGGTGTTTTCAATAACCTCATATGCATGAGAAAGCTGGACAGTGAATAAGGAAGACCGTAGAAGAATTGATGCTTTTGAGTTACGGTGTTGGAGGAGAATATTGAAAATGCCACGGGCTGCCCATAGAACCAACAGATCTGTGTTGGAAAAAGTGCAGCCGGAGTGCTCCTTGGAGACCAGGATGGCCAAACTTCGTCTCTCATACTTCGGACATATTATCAGGAGGGACCAGTCACTGGAGAAGGATATTGTGTTTGGTAAGGTGAAGGGTCAGAGAAAAAGAGGAAGACCACCAGCAAGATGGATTATGGACTCAAGCATGGCAACAATTGTGAGGTTAGCCCAGGACCAGGCAGTGTTTTGTTCTGTTTTACATAGGGTCTCTATGAGCCGGTACCAACTCGGTGACACCTAACAACAACAACAACAACAAAGCTAGTTAGAAAGAGGAAAAGCCCATCATGTCCGAACGTTGACTCCATGAAGGCATTTTAGGCTTTCTTGTTATTTACTGTGTTCACAGTGTGTATATCAAACCCTGAATCAATAAGTATTGGTTGAGTCAAACAATTACTGTATCTCTAAAAGCACACATGGCCTTTAGGACAGTTCTCTGTGCAGGGAACATCAGCAGGTAGATGCCCATGTGGGTGTCATGAATGAATGATGTGTGTACCATTAGGTTATAAAAGGAAGCAGTGGGGTAGAAGGAAACTTACCATGTCCCCAGCACTGCTCAAAAACGTTTTTAGACATTTTCACTGTTACTCTTCATATCTACTCTATTAAAAACAAAAAAAAAACAACCTATGCCATCAAGCCGCTTCTGACTCACCGTGTCCTCACGTGTTTTTAGAAGCAGGTTACCAGACCTCACTTCCAAGATGACCCTGAATGAACTGGAACCTCAGTCTTTTCAACTAGCAGACAAGCAGTTAGTCGTTTGCTCCACTCAGGGACAACTCCACCCTACTACCCACTGACACTAAGTGAATTCCAAGTCATTGTGACGCAATGGGACTGAGAAGAACTCCTTAGGGTTTCCAAGGTGGTAGATTGTTACCAGAGCAGACTGTCTCCCAAGGAGTGGCTGGTGGGCTCAACTCACCAACGTTTTCATTAGCCCAATGCGTAGCCTGCTGTACCACCACGACTCCTAGATAGCTATTACTGCACTTCCCCGTTTACAAACATTGTTGTTGTTGTTGTTAAATGCTGTCCAGTTGGTCCCAGCTCATAGTGACTCTGTCTAGGGTTTCTGAGGAATAGCTGGTGGGTTTGAACTGCCACCTTTGTGGTTCAAACTGATATTACTGCCCGGTGCATTATTCTGCAATACCACACCAGGACTCAGATGAAGGAGAGCTAAAGTGCTTTAAGGTCACAAAGGCCATACGTAGAGGAGCTGGGATGCAAATTTAGTGTGACTTCAGAATAACCATGACTCTGCCATACCCATGGACTGTGTAAGGGCAAGTATGCAGGGAAAGACCACAGTGGTATGCAGTTCTTCTGAGAAGAGAAACATCTAGTGGAGTCTGATGAACAGTGAGGAATTTGACTGAGGGTTCTGCCACAGGGACTGTATGCTGGTCTCATCATCCTTGTATTTCATCTTGAAGATCTGTAAGTAATCTCTTGGCAGTGGTCCTCTGTGTGGGAAGAGGATGCCTTCAACTCACCTGCAAGCACTTCTTTAAGTCCCTTCTCCAATAGTGCTCATTGATTAGCTGTAATCCTCCTGTGCTATCTCACCAGGCCTTGAGCAGAATCAGTGGCACACATTTGCAGATAGTTTTGATCCGTAACTCCTCTAATTCCAGCATGCAAAGGAATCAAGCTGAGGAACAAGAAGCTAAGAGGTCTTGAACTTGTTAATTTTATAATGCTAGTCATCAAATGGAGTCCTGGTGTCATGCTGTACTATAAGCACAATGTCAGTGGTTCAAACCCACCAACCGCTCCTTGGAAACCCTATTCAAGGTCCCTGTGTGTTGGAAACGACTTGATGGCACTTAACAATAACAACACAGTCATCAAAGAGAACTTTCCTGAGTTCACAGAATTAGATCAGAGTTTCTCGACTCTGACCCTGATTGTAGAGGCAGATCCTGGGCATTACAAGATTTTTTTGCTCTATCCCTGGTTTCAACTTTCACATACAAATAGCACCCCACTCCTCTTGTGACAACCAAGAATGTTTCTCTGCAGACACTGCCAGATGTTTTCTAGAGGCAAAATCACCCCTCTTCAAGTATAACTAGATTAAGCATTTAAAAACATACGTGTAAACATGCATACACACACAGAACGCCGCCAAAAATACAGTCACCTTGACAGAGGGATATTTTTCTTTCATTTCTTTGTGTTTTTTTCCTCTTTGCTTCTGTAAGTTTTTTTGTTTTTTTCTTTCTTGTTTCATTTTTGTTTGTTTGTTTGTTTATTATCCAAAGAGGAATGAATCTTTGCTTCAAGGTTGCTTTCTATTTTCTGTGTTTGTCCAGTTCACAAAAACTTCGTGAGGAATTGATTATGATCATAACCACTAATATTGTTGAGCACATCTGTGTGCTTGGCATCCTGCCCAGCATTTTACATGCATTTTTTTCCCACTTAATCATCAAATAAGAGGGTAAATCTGTTATTCCCACTTTAAAGATGAGGAAGCACAAAAACCTAGGTTTAGCAGTTTGTGAATGTGGGAGATGGGATTGGGGCCCAGGCTGTCAGATGCCCTAGTTGGCCCTTTTGCCCATAGTGCTAGATTGTCTTCCTTCTGTATATGAAATTTACAATATCACTGATGCTGTTAAGTTGTTAAATGCTGTTGAGTCGTTTCTGACCCATAGCAACCCTGTATAAGGTTTCTAAGGAGCAGCTGCTGAGCCTGAACTGCTGGCCTCATGGGTCAAGCGGACTTTGCAGTCCAGCACATTAACCAGCAAGGCCACATCAGGACTCCAATGCACACCCCTTTAATTCCTGATATCAAAAGGTTAACAGATGTCATGAAATTGGGTCTGTGGATCATGATCAAAGTCACATGCGTTTGTAGTTCGCACGGTAAGCAGTTTACACATCTGCATGTGGGCAGTTGATACAGTTGTTGGCTTAACCGTCAACATAAGATGTGAACTGATAGTCACTGAGGACATGTGTTATTCTTTGTCACCACCAGAGTGTCTCTATGTGTTCCCCTGTCATTGGAACTACCGTCCCGATCACTGCATGTATGGAAGCAACTGCAAAGAGGCTGAGCGTGAAGGTGTATCTGTTCTGCACGGGAACCGGGGTGTCTACCATGAGGACAAGCAGCCAACATTCAGAGCACTCTATGAAGCAATACGGGATGTAAGTTGGCCCCCACCACGGCCAGGCATTTGGGCGGAGGCTTGGTCCTCAGTCCCTCTGAAGGTCAAATGGGTCTCCCGAAGTTTTGAGTAAGACCCATTTGCCCCAACTCAAGTCTCCCTGTTTTCACTTCTGATTCTTAGCGACCCTGTGTAGGGTGTCCGAGGAGCGGCTGGTGAGTTTGAACCAACAACTTATGAGTCGTGGTGTGGTGCTATATTAGAAGCATTGGACTATTAAATGCAAGACTGGTGGTTCAGACCCACTAGCCACTCCTGTATAGGATTTCCAAGGATTGGCTAGTGAGTGTGAACCACCAGCCTCGTGGTTCATACTGACCTTCTAGTCTGGTACTTGTCCTACAACACTACAACAGGACTCCATCGCTCTTTATTTGGTGGCGGTGCCGTGGAGTCGATTCCCACTCATAATGACCCTGTACAGGGTTCCATTGTGGCTGTTGTTATGTGCCATGGAGTCAGTTCCAACTCATAGCGACCATGCATAGGATTTCCGAGGCAGTAAATCTTTACGGGCGCAGAAAGTCTCATCTTTCTCCTGTGGAACAGCTCGTAGTTTCGAACTGCTGACCTTGAGGTTAGCAGACTGACTGACAACCATTACACTACCAGAGCTCCTTTACTTACTGCTTCCAAATAAGTTACTCTATTATTTTTTTTTTAATTAAATTTACTTGAGGAAATTTTGTATCAGAAAGGGGAATTCTTTTTTTTTTTTTTAATGCTTTATTGTGAATTATGTGATAGTTTACATGGGAGGATATTAGCTTCTCATTGATCCTGTCATATATCGTTTCCTTGCCATGGTTACAAACCCCTCCATGCATCATCCATCTACCGCAAGGTATACCCCGCATGCCTGCCCCGCTGTCGTCAGCACACAGCCCCTCTCCCTCTCCAGGTCCAAAGTCTCCAGCTGCTCCATCTCCCCAAGTTATCATCTCTGCTTCCATCCCTGGCGTCACTGCTTCTCTGGGTAGGGTTGCGTTCTCTGTTTTTCTCCCTTGATGGTCCCAGGGACCTCCGCTCCTAGACTGTTAGGTTAATCACTCCCCTCCCTTTGCCCCAAAACATTTACCTTTACATTTCCAGCCCTTACAATCAATCAGTCCTGATAACAATTATTCACTATTGTATCGCAAGAGAGCTATCCGCCTCTCCTTTCATCAGCCCTGACTAGCCAGAATGGATACTACTCAGTGGAGATTCTACCTTGCTCCATACCCTCTGGATCTAGGTTTCCTCTTGAAAGCTTGTAAACCAGTCACTTATTGCCTCTGTAGCTTCCCCATTCTGGGTAGCCAATGTCCAAGTTGCCCATCCCTGTCCTCTCCATGTGCGGAGGGGGTGGGAAGGATCTTCGCTGTGAAGATTTGTTCCCTCTTTTGAGCTACTGCTTCCATAGGTGTATGTCAAATTCATCAAATTGTATCAGATTATTCTTTTTTCCCTGTTACTTCTTCTTCTGGTTGAGCTCTGATCATCCAGCCATTGAAGCCAGGTCAAGTGGGTATTATCTGCAAGTATGGGTGTAATTATGCATGTGCCCTCTTTTCTTTTCAGCTGGACGCTTCACTCTTCACTCTAGTCCTCTGTGGCTATGCCACTGACTCTGAGTCCAAGAGTCCCCAGGTCTTGCCACACTGCTGGTCAACCAGGTCTCCACCCGGGTTCACAGAAGTCTATTGAACATTGTAGAGCTTAGCTCGCAGCTTCATTGCTGTTTCTCCCTCACTTCCCCTTATCAGTGACGAACGTGGTCACCAATCAAAGTGTGTATTCCCACTGAGCCTTAGTCTTAGAAGGGGGTTTGTCCTGAGGGGGACCTGACCACTTGCCTTGATGTCTCCTGGGCAAGCCACTTGTTTGTTCTTGTAGTAATCAGTCAGTCTGCCTATATTGTTTTACATTTTTCCTGTCAGTCTTTCTTTCAGGAAGTATCTTCTGTTCTTCTGGCTGCTCCAGGATGGTCTGCTTGACCAGAAAGGGGAATTCTTGTCACTTGCCATAATGTAACCCAAACCCAGTGCCTTAGAGTCACTTCTGAAGCACAGCATCCCTGTAGGACCTACTAGAACTGCCTGATAGGGTTTCCAAGGCTGTCAGGCATTATAAAAGCAGATGGTCACATCTTTCTCCCACTGAGCATATGGCAGGTTTGAACTGCTGACCTTTTGGCTAGCAGCCCATTGCTTCCCCACTGTTACCATGTTAGATAAAGGTAAAGGTAATACCCACATCTGTCTGTCTGAGTTTGTCATGTTGTGGTGACTTGCATGTTGCTGTGATGCTAGAAATGATGTCACTGGTATTTCAAAGACTAGAAGGATCACCTGTAATGCACAGGGTTTAGTGGGGTTTCCAGACTGAGACAGACTAGGAACAAAGGCCTAGAGATCTAATTAGGAAAATCAGCCAGTGGTAACCATCTAGGTCACAACAGAGATGAGCTCACCAAATGTACCAGTAGTCATGAGTGTGTTTCCGGAGCTGGCAGTGTTTTCTCTGGCCTACAGAAGGGTACTATGAGTAAGAGCCCACTCAGCAGCAGCTGACAGTAGCAAAGATGATGGATATAGTAAGAATAAAATAACACTGTGCAGTTCAAGCTAACTGTGTTACCTGGTTGTTGGTTCCAACAACACCAGGAATCCAGTGTTGAAGAGTCAAAGATATAGACAGAGGTATTCCCGAGTTACGATGCTTTCGATTTACAACACAGTATGCTCACACTTTCCTTTCTTATGAGTAATGTAGTCCTGATGTGGCGCTGTAGGATAAGCACTGGCCTGCTAACTGAAAGGTCAGCAGTTCAAACCCACCAGTCATTCCTCGGGAACCATATACAGGGTCGCTGTAAGTCAAACCAACTTGATGGCACTTCACAACAGCATCTTTCGTTAGTAGTGTATGCTGTAGCACGTGATTTGCTAATGTCATCATTCTCAGATGTTCGGTGTGACGACTTACTGTTCAGAACTCTGCCATATGGCATACTATGAATACTTAGGAAAAATTTGTCTTAAAGGGTATTCATCTTACATCAGAACTAGCTTAAAACAGAGTGTCAGGAGCAGAACCCCATCCATCATCAGTCTGGGATCCGCTGTATCTTTTTTCCAGTTTGAAAGAACTTTTCTTTGTGGTTCACCACCTAAATGCATGCCAAATAATACCTGCTAGTATCACGCATCCCACACTTTTAGGAATACGTTCTTCCACATTCTCTTTTATTTTGAGATTGTTAGGTAAAAACCAGCTAAAGTTAATTTCAGGGATTACTCTTCTGAAGCAGGGCTTAGCACACTTGGACAAATCTGACCTGTTGCCTAGTTTTATACAATGTGGTCTAAGGTTGGTTTTTAAATTTCCCAATCGTTTAAAAAAAAAAAAAATTAAAAGAAGAAGGAGATTTTATGACATGAGAAAAAGATACGAAATTTAAACTTGAGCATCCATAAATAAAGTTCTACTGTGATATCACCTCAAAGAGTCTCTGACTGCTGTCTCTTCGTCAAGGCGGAGTTCAGGAATTGCAACAGAGACTGCTGGATCTGCAAACCCTAAAATATTGACCATGGAGGGCTTCACAGAGTTGTGTAAACACGAAGTGAAAAAACAATGGACTTTTTCCACAAACTTTTTAAAGCATTCTCTTATTGAGCCCTTTTACAGAAAGTCTGCCAACCACTTTACCAGAGTATGGGGAAACTTTGTCTTTTTTTTCTTGAGGATCTGGGAACCTTGGGGTTTCGTGAATAGGCTTTAGTTGAAATGAAGGGTTGTTGTTGGTTGTTGTTGAGTGCCATTGACTTGATTCCGACTCATTGCAACCCTATATGGGGTTTCCAAAGAGCACCTGGTGAGTTTGAACTTCTGACCTAGTGGTTCAAAGTCCAGCGCCGATCCTACAGCATCGTGCCAAGAGGCCGGGAGTGAAGTGTGTGCGTTGGGGGGGGATGTATTTCATTACATAATAACACATTTTTATATGTGTGTATGAAAATGTGCTTTTGCTAGGGGAGGTCCTAGGTAATGCTGTCTCTGCAATGCTTAGAGTTGTCTTATATGCAGGGAAAGAGTTTAGTATGTGTACAATCCAACACCCTCTCTTTTTTCCTGTATTTCCTGCTGTTTGATTGCTTTTTAATTACATAGAAAATGTTCTCAGTACTTAGTTATACCACCACACTTAGGTATGCAAACACTGTTTCGAGGGGGAAACTCATTCAGAAGGAAAAGTAGAAGTTGGGATGCAAAAGGCACATGCCTAGCAGTGTCGCTCCCGGATTTCTTTTGTAATTTCTCAGCCCTGGTTTGAAATTGAGCAATTGTGATTCTTGAGTTGTAACTTATTTGTTTTGTGGGGGGGACTAGAAAGAGAACCAAATAACTTTGTCTCATAAATGATCCTACCTTATACACTCACTGATGTTCCTCAGTTGGACCTAAAATTTCCATCCAGGCATTTCAATCAGGAATATCAAATAACTCATCCCCAATCTGAATGGCACTGTGAGTTAATGCACTGGACTGCAAAGTCAGTTTGAACTGCAAGATTAGCGGTTCAAGCTCACCAGCTGCTCCTCATAACCCCTATACAGGGTCACTATGGGTCATAACAGACTCAAAGACACTTAACAACAACAACATCATCATGAAAGATATAAGAGTAATGCCTTCCCATTCCCCACAATACTGCACACCATAGAACAATGGATCTGAGGTAGAGGATAAACAGACTTGGGTTCAAATCTCAATGTTTCACTCTCTGGTCATTGATCATTAATTCTGTATCCTTATTTTTGTGGACCTCAGTTTTCATCATCTGTGAAATGGGTTGTTTTTTTTTAACGCTCTCTGTTTATAAATATATTTCCTCTCTCACTATCTATATTTCTATTTTTCTTTGCATTTCTCTTTGAAAATTCACTCTCTGAAAACAATCTTTTCTCTCTCTCCCTTCACCTGACTCTCTCATGCTCACATGCCCTAAGCCTAGGCCCAGTCCTATGTGTATGTCTGTGTGCCCACCAGCCTCCTGGAGGACACACCCAATCTCTCCACGTGATGTGTCCAGGAGATCCATCTGTTAGAGTGACATTCTTTCAGAAATTCTTTGAACAATCATGCATGAAGCTGATGCATCCACTGTGTGCTAGGACCAATTCTAGGCTCTCAGAATTCATATGTTAACAAGACTGACAAAATTCCTGGTCCTCAAGAAGCAGATATTCTGGTGGAATGCGCCAGGCAGTATTCACATGCACACAGAAATCAATAAAGACCATACAAGATCATGAAAGGTACTAGACAGGAACCAGAGCCAATGATAAGAGGAACACCGTAGTCAGTGTTCAGAGAAGATACCTACCCGCCTGAATCTTGGTCAGATAGAAGCAACTATTGGGAAAACTGGGGCAAGAGCCTTCTAAGCAGAAAGAATTGTAGTGTGCCTTCAAGTTGATTTCCGCAGGTAGTGGTCAGAAGTAGATCACCAGGCCTTTTTCTAGCCAAGGTTGCAGGCTTCAAACGACTGGCTTTTCATTTGGCAGCCAGCTGCATAGCCCTCACGCCAGCAAGGCTTCTTAGTGGGAGTAATCAGGGAAAAAATCCCAGGAGGAGAAAAGAGTTTGGTGTGCACCAAAGTCAAGGAAGAGGCCGTGGTGACCTTAATGGTGAGGTAAGGTGGGGAGAGGAGCTGAGCGAGGAGGGTTCCAGCTCACATACAGTCTCTTGGACAAAGGGCGAGTTTTGAATCACATGGTAATTGCAGAATAATTGAGCCTATCAATAAACTCCTGGTGTGGCGCTGTGGGCTAATGCGCCAGACTGCAAAGCCATTTGAACCACAAGGTTGGCAGTTCAAGTTCACCAGCTGTTCCTTGCAAACCCTATACAAAGTCGCTGTGGGTCGGAACCAACTCGACGGCACTTAACAATAACAACATCAATAAATTATGTTATATTATTATAGCACATTAGATTAGAGAAAAATGGTTACCATGACAACTTGGTGTAAGAGGCAAGAGTGAACACACAGAGACTATTTGTGGGACTTGTCAGAGCCATACTGGTGGGAGAAGGGGCTGCAATGGTCTTGCGTGGTAAATAGCAGGAAGATGGGGAACAATTGCCATGTTCAGGATATGTTGTACAGACAGTTACAGGACTTCCTGGTGAGTTGATTGAAAGGTGTGGTGGAAAGAGAGAAATCAAAGATGAGTCCAAAGTTTTTCACTTATTCTGTTCCATACTGGGGAAAGTGCTGTGGAGTCAGCTTCAGCTCACTGTGACTCCATGTGTACAGAGTAGAACTGCACCGTAGTGTTCTCAAGGCTGTAGGCTGCTTTCAGAAGCACATCACCAGGCCTGTCTTTTCTCAGCTCCTCTGGGTGGGTTTGAACTTCCAACTTTTCAGCAGTAGCCAAATGCTTAACCACTGAAGGATTCCTTCGCTGGGCATACAGTATGAAAAGACAGACTCAGGATCTATCAATTTCTAAATTCTTCGATAAGCAAAAAAGTGTTCCAAGTCTGGACTGGGATTGAACCTTCTTGTATCATTGTTAGCTACCATCAAATCAACCTCCAAATCATGGGGACTCCATGCACAACATAAAGAAAACGCTGCCCCGCCTGCACCATCCCAGTGATCCACTGCAAATTGTACCATAGTGGTCCAAACAGTTTACATTGGCCAGTTTTTTCAGGAGAAGACCCTCAGGCCTTTCTTCCTAGTCTGTCTTAACCTGGAAACTTCTCTGAAACTTGTTCAGCATCACAGAAATATGCAAGCCTCCACTAACAGAGAGTCCACAGACATCTCGTATGGTTGCTACACCTGAGAGGCACTGGCCAGGAATCAAACCTAGGCCACTCACTTTGGTGTTGTTGTTGTTAGATGCCATCAAGTTGGTACCCACTCATAGTGACCCTACGCACAACAGAACAAAACACTGCCCTGACCTGTGCCAACCTCACAATCATTGTTACCTTTAAGCCCATTGCTACAGCCACTGTGCCAACCCATCTCGTTGGGGGTCTTCCTCTTTTTCTCTGACCCTTCACTTTACCAAACATGATATCCTTCTCCAGGAACTGCTCCCTCCTGATATTATGTCTGAAGTATGAGAGACGAAGTCTGGCTATTTTGACTTTCAAGGACTATTCTGGCTGTACTTTTTCCAACACAGATTTGTTTGTTCTTTTGGCAGTTCATGGTACTTTTAATATTTTCTTCCAACACCATAGCTCAAGTGTAACATTTTTTCTATGGTCTTCCTTATTCACTGTCCAGTTTTCACATGCATATGAGTAGTTATTGAAAATACCATGACTTGCACCTTAGTCCTCAAACTGACATCTTTGCTCTTGAACACTTTAACGAGGTCTTGTGTAGCACATTTGCCTAATGCAGTATGTCATTTGATTTCTTGGTTGCTTCTTCCATGAGTGTTGATGGTTGATCCAAGCAAAGTTACGTCTTTGATAACTTTAATCTTTTCTCCACTGATAAGGATGCTGTTTATTTGTCCATTGTTAGGGAATTTTGTTTTCTTTACATTGAGGTACAAGTCATACTGAAAGTTGTAGTCTTTGACCTTCATCAATAAGTATTTTAAGTCCTCTTCAGTTTCAGTAAGCAAGATCATGTGCATAGCACAGGTTGTTAATGAGTCTTCCTCCAATCCTGATGCCACGTTTTTCTTCATGTAAGCCAGCTTCTTGGATTATTTACTCAGCATACAGACTGATGGTGCACACTTTCCCTGATTTTAAGCCATTCAGTGTTCCCTTGTTCTGTTTGAGCTACTATCTCTTGGTCTATGTACAGTTTCCCCATGAGCACAGTTCAGTGTTGTGGAATACTCATTCTCCGCAATGTTGTCCATAGCTTGTCACCCACAGAGAAGGCAAGAATTCTATCACTGAGCCATCATTGTCCCCTTCTTGTATTACATAATGTATAATCTCCTGGGATGAAATGGGCATTTTTGATCAACATGATAGGGGAGACTTACAGGGATTAAGACCTATTCTAAGAAACCAGACACCAATCTCCTTAGCTCACTGTGAAGCCAGTATCTGCTGACCTTTAGCCATTCTCTCCTCCCTCTCTTTCCTCCCCCAATGTTTTTGTATACAATGCCCTTGACAAAGGCTTATCTTTGACCTGACCTACTAGAAGCTTTTTCCCTTGCAACAAAATTGTCATAAAACTTTGATACATGCTCATAGCTAAATGGTTGGAAAGATTTATTTTGTAAAGTACTGCTCATGGACACATTCCATGGGGGAAAAGTACAGACTTTTGGATCCAAAACCACAAAAATGATAAACCTCAAAAGCTTAATATTAAGTGCGAAAGAACAAAAGCCAGTACAGTCATACCTTGTTTTATTGTGTTTCATGTTATTGCATGTCACCAGCTACTGTGTTTATTTGTTTGTTTGTTTTACAAATTGAAGGTTCGCAGCAACTGTGTCAAGCAAGTCTCACTTCATGTCTCTGTACAACATTTTGGTAATTCTGACAATATTCCATACTTTTTCTAAATGCTATTGCACCCTTAACAGATTACAGCATAGAGGAGACACAACTTTTATATGCACTGGGAAAACAAGAAATCCACATGGTTCGCTTTATTGCGATATTTGCTTTATTGCTGTGATCTGGAACTGAACTTGCATTATCTCCAAGATCTGCGTGCTGGGGTACCTAATCTATTAAAGTAAAGCTCACTGCTGAGACATTTTACTAGTAGTTGCTAACCTGTGTTAGTTCTTCCTTAAGACTGATAAAAGGCAAAAAATATGAAAAATTCAGTGTTTTGATGTAGTAGACTTCAAGTATCTACTTAAAGTAAGTCTGCCTTCTACTTAACAAGAATATCAATATTGAAGATTTCCTGTATTTAGAGATTTTAAGATTTTAAGAGCTTTAAGGACACAAATACATCACCTTTCTTCCGGAGGAAAAGAAACCGAGGCACTCATAAGGTATATGACTGATTGTCTGTGCTACACCGTCAAGTCGGGATTTGAACCTCGGGTCCTCTTCACTGTTGGTTGGTGGTGGTGGTTGCTGTGGAGTTGGCTCAGTCTCTTGGTGGCTACATGTATGACAGAAACAAATCAGTTGCCCAGCCCTGCGACATCCTCACAGTGGTTGCTCTGGTCAAGCCCACTGTTACAGCCCCTATGTGTTTTGAACATCTCCCAAACTAGGGAATTCTTCTTCTAACACTTTAGCAGACCGTCTTCTTTTGTGATCCATAGAGTTCTCATGAGCTAATATTCACAAGCAGAGCACCAAGCCTTCCTTCACATTTGCTGTGTTTAAGACGCACAACGCTGTGATTTCCTCCTTGTAATAATTCCCCTTTCATTTCTCTAGTAAAAGTTATTTGCATTTTAAGTGGAATTTCAGCAATTAAAATAAAAACTTTTTCTTTCTCTGTCTTTCAGTTTCCCTTTCAAGACAATCTTTTTCAGTCCATGTATTACCCTCTTCAGTTGAAGTTTCTGGAGACTGTTCACACTTTATGTGGACGAATCCCACAGGTTTTTCTGAAGCAAATTGAGAAAACAATGAAAAGAGTTTATGAGAAACACGTCATCATCCGTGTCGGCCCTGACAGGAGGCACTGAATATTTCATGTTGTTTTCCTTTTCCTTTTTGAACTACAAGCAAATCATTCAGGCATCTCGTGGTCAAGGAAACACTGTTCTTTAAGCTGCCTGGATCTTTTTGTATGGATATTGAATGATGCTCTATTACCATTGAGCTTAAAAGATTTTCCTAGAGTTTTCTAAATCATTGACCCTAAAAGGGAAATGTGCTGCCTTTTTTTACCCCTGAAAATATGCTACTTATCTCTCTGTTCTTTTAAAAAAAACAAAAATCATGTAACGTTGCTCAAGTAGGGATGAAGGTAAGATATCTGGGAAAAGAAGCATTTGTGAGGTTTACAGTTCCTATTGAGTATCTTAAGCCATTTCATTGTATTCTGATACATTTAGGTAGCATTCTGAGACTCTTTCTGTGCAATCCTTACCCCCATTATAAAAGTAATACATGCTTATTTTTTAATAAAATAAAAAGCTCTTTTAGAAAACCTAGGTCAATCAAGCAAAACATTAGATTAGCCAGAACCTTACAAACCAACAGAGAAGATTGTTATCCTTTCAATGTATTTCCTTCTAGTCTTTTTTTCCCCTATATTTATTTGCTGATTGTATTTTCTGCCATTGTTATTGTTAAGTGTTGTCCAGTTGGTTCTGACTCATACTGACCCTGTAAAGGATTTCCAAGGAGCGACTGGTGGGTTTGACCTGCCAACTTTGTTGTTCAAACTGCCTTTGCAGTTCAATGCTTATCCTACAGTGCTACGCAGGAGTCCTTTCTTTCATAGTACATATCTAAAACAGATGGTTTGAGTAAAAACTGGCCACTATGATGAGATTTTTATGGAGGAGATAAAAGTTAGACAAGATGAAGATGATGTTTACAGTGCTTTGTTTACAACATGACCAACGCAAAGGAAGACACGGCGAGGTGCATAAGAGTAAAAGACAACAAAGGTAAATAGTATACCATGGACAATTCTGGAATAATAGTAATAACAAACAATAATGTATACATAGATTCATAGGTGGACATGCAACAAAAACAGTGTGGGGAGGGGGATAGGAGTCACCCCAAGGATATTTGAGTTTGGCAGAGGCTAGTTCTACGTATATAATTTGTATGTACTACAAATATATCCAAGGATGTAATAGAGCATACAGGAGGCAACATTTTGAAAACTTCATAGCTTTACCAAACATCTTGAGGGAATGAGAAGCCTTGGATCACAGTCTCAGGGGACATCTAGGCCAATTGGCATAATATAGATCACAATGTTCTATATCCTACTCTGGCAAGTCGCAACTGGGGTCTTAAAGTTTGTAAATGGATATCTAAGAAACACCTCTTTGTCTCTCCCCATCCAGAGCAAAGAAGAGTGTAGGAAAACAAAGACAATTAGTCCAAAGAACTGTTGGACTGCATGAACTACAAACTCCACTACCCTGAGACCAGAGGAACAAGATGGTGCCCGGATACCATTTCTGACCACTCTGATTGCACTTGTAATAGAAGGTTCTGGACAGAGTGAGAGGAAAATGTAGATGAAAATCCAAAGTCATAAAAAAGGTCAGATTTCCTGGTCTGAGAGACTGATGGAACCCCTGAGACTGTGGCCCCTAGTCACCCCTCAAGCCTGGAACCAAACCCACCCCCATCCCCAGAGATCCACTTTCATACCACCCAAAGTGAATAATAGTAACTCTAGGGAAGAAGGTATTCCTCAGAACCATCAGCCATATGAGAACAGAAGGGCAGCATTTGCCCACAATGTCTAGAAAACAGGAAGGAGCAGGAAAGATGAGTACATGGAAACAAGGAACCAGGGAGGAAGTAGGAGTTGTGCAGTTTACACTGAGGGGTTTATAACCGGTGTCAGAAAAACAAAATGTGTATACATTGTTGAATGAAGAAACTATTTGCTCTTTATTCGTTCATCCAGACTATAAAAGTTCAACCACCACCACCACAACAACAACATCAAAAAGCTGATACAAAAATGTTCGGGAAAAAAAAAACTCTACATAATGATGGCAAGATCTCCAAATGTTATTGCTAAGGTAAAAATAAAAGGCAAAGAACGTTTTTAAAAATAATAGAACAAACAATGTGGCACATAGGATCGCAGTGAAGTGAGGAGCTCC